TACAAATTGGAATGATCTGAAATTTGGAGCGTGTGTACATCTTAGTGATGCACACCTAATAAAAATATATAAAAAATAATTCGTGAAATAAAAATTGATCAAAATACCCTCAAAACTTTTCGGGGGTATTTTGGTTAATTTTTTTCATGTAAAATATTTTTTTGATATTTTTCGTAGATTCATCTATTTTTGATGACCACACTCTCCAATTTTCAGGTCATTCCGATTTGTAGAAAAAAATTAAAAATGAAACACTACCGGACAATCATGACCGTGCGATGAACTTTGGACGGTGATGAGGGTAGACGAAATCACTGTTCATTTTCACCTATAGGCATTTTGTAGTATCTTCCGATATATATATATATATATATATATATGTATTTATATATTTATTTATTTTGCATAGTTCAGTAGTAAGAATCAAAGTTGAGAAGTAGTGCTGGTAAGTGTCCAAGCCCGATTCCTAATTGTGTTATATAGTCAACACTTCGCTGCAATACCTCACTACTGCTGCATTCCATGGTGTTAGCACATTGTAGAAAGTGAAAGACAGCTAAATTTTCCAGGTAAATGGCAGCAAATGAATTCACAAGAAAAAAAAAATACTTTTTTATGAACCACAATTGCTTCAACATGTCAATGACCTCAATTTTTGGAGCACCTCATGCTCGACATATCTACACCCGTACAGACACGCACCGTGTGCTCACACAGTCCTTGTCTGTCCAGGACTGTTTGGCGAGCCTCAAAAGAACAAAGTACACATCTTTTTGTCTCCATAGCCAAAGGGTATACACCTTTCCCTATGGTAAAGCATCTATTGCATTCCACTGCATGAAAAACCATTGCTGAAATATTTAGAACCCTATATCATATTCAATATTTTATTTTTGTGAGTGCATGCATTGGTGTGAGAGGACTGCAACTTTTTGAGATCCTTCATGAAAATCCTTCAGCATTGCATAGGAAGCCATGCATAAAAGTAAAGAATTGACAAAATGCATGGTTCTACATGTTCGGATGAAGGATTTTCACGTGGTGGCATGCAGTAGATGCTTCATGGGGGAGCAGGGGGGAGACAGTGGAAGCCAACTTAGCATCTATATCACCTTTACCTCTTTGTTGAAGCCCTAGAGATACTCATGAGTGATGGAAAACTTGAGTAGTTGGACTTGGACTTGCCTAAGTTACTTGGGCTTGGCAGGCTGCCAAGTTCCAAAAGAAAAAAAGTATAGGAACTGGCCAGAAGAGGCCCAGTCTGCCCAATTTGAAACAATATATTTTTTCTCTTTTTTTGTTTGGACTCAGCCGAGTCAGCCCCACTTGACTTGGGCTCAGGACCCTAGCAAGTTGCAACCAGTGTCCTTGTTTTCAACACTGCATGAAACTAATATCTTTTCCTTTTCAAATTATTTCCAAAACAACCTCCTAGTACACATAATTATTACAGCACTATGGATAAGATTAGAGTTGGATGCTATTCTCACATAAAGATTGAATAGACTCACTGGATACAGAATGGACCCACTTCATATGACCTGAATAAGTTAATGACTATATATGCCCAATAATTGAGGTAGTATAACCACTGCAAAACAAAACCCTTCACTGGGTAACTGGGACTGCCTTTTAAGCAGTTCACATTTAGAATCTCTCTCTCTCTCTCCCTCCTGAAATAAATTTCCTCTATGATTCCTTTTTAAATTTTGTAGTTTATAAAATAAACATGTAAAAAACAGACTGACTAGGTTACTTGTCCATTGAAACACAAAATCAAGCAGAAGATTTCCTATTTGACTGCCGCTCCAGTTCTGATAACATGTCTTTAGAGATTTCACATCCTTTAGGTTCATCATAAACTCTTCAAATAATTTGAATATAAAAGAAAGCTTGAGCCATGAACTAGGCTAAATAATGAATATGATAAAATTAGAGTCAAATACTCCTAACTGTAGAATTCCCTTATCTAAATGCAATTTATGCCTTACCTTAGGCAGAATGTGAAGAGAAGTCATGCATTTTATTTTAGGACATACGACCTTCGTTTGTGACCCTGAAGGATTTTTAGGGCAGGGAGAGGTAGAGGGAAGTATCACCAATAGGTCCATATGTTTTTACTGTAACAGATTATTCATGTGCAAGAGAAGGTAGCTTCATCAGTACTGACAAAAACCAATAAGCAAGAACATCAAAGCTAACTCTGCATCTCTTGCTTCTAGGTGGATGTTATAGAAAAAATTGGGCAAACAATTTTAACTCCATGATGAAATTAAGGGTACCACTTTGACCATTCAGGATGCAGGTATGTCTTCAGCATTAATTCTCCTTCAACTTTGTCATCCAACATTTGGATCATCGACTCAGGTTCCTTTAATCCATGCACGAAGCTCTACCAAATTTACCCTTTTCCAACCACCCTCAAGTAAAACATGTTAATTCTTGCTGATGGTTCTTCTACATTAAGTTCTAGGGTCTAGAATGATGGACTCACGCCCATCGCTGTCATTTCCCATTACTCCGCACACTCCTAGACTTTCAATTGACATCTCACTTTTATTACTTTCTTTCATTTACATTCTCTATTCAGGGTCTGAAGAATGGAAGAAGAGTGGTGAGGGGTGTGAGTCTCAGTTCACAGTTCACTGCTTTGGGGTAGACTTCAGCCCTCAACAGTGAAAAGGGAGGCAATGAGGCCAAACATCTTTGACATCTATGCCAAGTCACTGTTCTAGTCGAAATCTTAACGTTACAAGCTCACCCTTTTTCTTTTGACCGATATGATTCTAGTGGTACTTGTCAATTGTCAGACTCATTTAAAACTCTGGCAACAAGCAATAACAGTCCTCGTGATGCTCTTTTCACTTAAAGATTCAGATGTTTACGGATCCACATCTGTGCATATTGCTCTGGTTATAGATATTTTGTTCTTTAGCTCAGGAAGGATAGAATGCGTACCATTTCCAAGATTTTTCTACAAAATGATTACTGCTCAAATGAATTCAAAATGGGGGCGTTCTGTTAGATTGTGTAATTAACTCCAGTAACAATGAGATGCAATAGTTTTGGACACTTCTAATGTGCTAGTGAACTTGTCCAAAACTCCCTAGCAGAATGGGTCGCAGCTTGCAATGGACATCCTAAAAGTCATTAGCTAGCTGCCTTATTAACTACATGTTACCTTGCAAATATCTGCTTGCCAAACTATCTCCAGAAAGGAAACTAACAGTTCAAACCAACTTATTTCACGTGTGTCATTCGGTGTATCTGTTATGTTCATGGGTCCAAAAAAGAACATGATAAATGACAAACCAGATCTTCTACACATTTTTTTTTTGCGTATTCTCATTTGACAAGGATACAAATTTTATGCCCTCTCAAAAGAAGTCATGCCTCTTTAAAAGTCATCTTGGTAGTAAACTGAAACAGTTCACCTTGATGTGCGGCTTTAATGGCAACATAATGGTTTCTAAAGGTAACTGGGACTACATAATTGAAGTGTCAAGATAATTGGGAATATAATTAATGCATACTTGGTTATAAAGGTGAATATATTATAATTGGGAATATAATTAATGCATGCATGGATGGATATCCAATGCAATGGATCTTGTGTAGCAACATGGCGGTACATTTTATCTACGCTACAAGCGCAATATGGATCCTGGATTTCCTTCTGCCTGATTTTATAAAACCCAGGTTTCAAACAAAAAAGGCTGTTTTGCACCCCTATTTCATTGCGAACCAAGGTTTCCAACTACACCATTTGGGCCCAATTCGGGGTTCAGGAAAACCCTAGGAGGAGTAGGTTTTCCCAAAACGTGGGTTTTCTTTTTTCTCCCTACCACTAAATGAGTTGACGAAACCTGTTGACAAAAACATCACTCAACAGTAAAATAGAAACACTAAATGGAAATAATTAACACCAAAGGCTAAACTTGCCTGCATAAAAGAATCCTGGAAGATTTTGTTCCATTTTCTCTATAGCTTTAAGAACCATGTCGTAATTGTGTCCATACAAGGGAAATGCATCACCCCAATACACGTGCCTGGCCAAAATTTTGTCAGCTCTCCATCAAAGAACTATAATTACGAAGAATACAGATTGTGGAAAAATAATAGACTTAATGATGATTTTGTAAACTTCTGTCCATAAATTACCTCACAAATGTAGGCGCACCAACTACACCCAACAATTTTTTAAGATCACAAGTGACAACCTCTCTCAATTCATCTCTGAAAAAATGACCATAGCAACTCAAATAATAAGAACAAATTAGCAAGCAAAAGAATGAAATAAATAAGCACATCAATAATCATATCAGGAAGAAAAAATTTGAAAGAAAGCCCAAGCCTCACGTACAATGAAGCACTTGCTAGATTTCTATTCCGACTTCCTCCTACAAAGGTAGTATACAGATACTGATCCTTTGGAGCCCTATCAGGAAACATCATGGAAGAAAAGAGCGTGCCTGTGATTACAACAGTTATGCTTAAATTGGCTACAAATGTCACCAATATGAAAGCACTAAACAGTTATAAGGATGAAATAGTATCAAAATACTAGAATGTAAGAGCAAATAAAGGACAACATGAAGCAATTCACTCAATTCAACATAGGCTTACCTAGGGTTCTCAACCCACTGCCTTGCTCCTTGGAAGGAACTAAGACACCAAATCCTTCAAGGGGTAGCTTGACATTTTCTTTCTTGAAGGTAGTAACTATAATTGATAGTGGCAAATACATCACCTGATCATAAATGATCCGGTTAAGTAAGTCGGAACACTCAACTAAATATCAGAAAGATTAAACACAAGAACCTACACAAAGCCACGAGTTATATGTTGGAAATAAAAGGAATAAGCTTTTATTGTATTTGATGGACAGCATCGTCATTTATCATTTGTTTAATCCTTATGTGTCTTATATCTCTAAATAAGGGAAACAATTAGAGTTATTACTTAATATTATAAGAAGGGTAGAGGTCACAAGTACCCCTAAGCCACTCACTTTCCCTCTCTATCTCTTTATCTCTCACACTTCTCTCTCTCTCTCTCCCTTCATCTTTATTTACTTCTCTTTCTCTCTCTGGATCCTACCAAACAGTTTTATTCTCAACTTCAATTTCAACGTGGTATAAGAGCACGACGACCAGTAAGGATGATACGAGGTAATGTAGCATATTTTTGTAGCACGGAACTGTAGCATGTTACTGTAGCAAGGTCGATCTTCAAAAAGGTGCACATGAACTATGTTTGGGCCTGACGTCGAAAAATTAAAATGAATTTTTAGACCTCTCTAGATGTTTTATTTTAAGGATTTTTAAATAAGAAAAATCATGTTTTAGATTTATTTAATTTAAAGAGGAAAATAAAATATTTAATGGATTTATAAAAATCTTTTTATCATTCTAAATTATAATATAGGGTGTGGGACCCATTGGGACTTTGGGCCCACAACAAATAAGCCCACTAGTTGAGGCGTGGGGCCCACATGGCTATCCATGTGTGAGGTGCCCCACTCCTTTCCTTTTTGTGTAGCTTGTGTGCTAAGCCACCTTTTTGATTGGAAAAATAAGGGAAAGTGTTATTTAGAGAATTTGATTGATTTTAAATAGGAAAGTGTAGAAATTAATTGAAATTGATTTTACAAAAAGATAGTATTTTTTGTACACAATATTTGATGAGAATAATGTTATGGAAACTGAGGGATAATGGTTTTACGTCATTCCTTAATCATGGTGGCTAATCCAATGAATAAATGGATGGGATCCCTTCACCCCACAGGTCTCTATGATCAAAGGTCAAGATTGAGTCTCATAATGATGGCAAAATCCTAACCCCAAAAACCCTAGCCTCTATATTATAAATATTCTCAAAGGGGTTCTTTTCTCTACACCTTTTGATTAGTCTCTCTCTCTCTCTCTCTCTCTCTCTCCGAATTCTAGGGTAGGCACTCCCGTCTCTATCTCCCTCTCTTTTTCTCTCAACTTAGCTTAGGATTTAATTGTCGAAGGTAGAACCCTATGGATGGCACACCTAAGCAAAAAGGGGCCACGCCCTAGCCTATGTGCGTTGAGATTTGCTCATGTGTTGAGCCTTGATTAAAGCCGTATCCCATGTCATGCTCTCAAGAGGTTTTGCCTAGGCTTACCGAGCTATGAGACAGTTAGACTGAGATCTCGTGCGCCATTGGTGGAGAAGATCCGGTGTAGAGTATATGAAGTCTTTGGGGGTAACCTGAGGCAAGGTATTCGGTATTACTCCATTTAATGCTTTCTTGAATTCATTCATAGTGTCAAGTAATTTTCAGATTTATTTTATGAATGAATTTTTGTTTTGATGGCAAGCAAGTGAGAGTCCTTGGCATTCTTTGTATTTTTTATTGATTCATATATTGTATTTGAACACTTGTAAGTGATCCGGGTAGTGAAATAAAGAAAAGAAATAAATTTTTTAACGGTATATACTTGCCCGGATCACATAGTCCTACTTTCACTGCACAAACCCAGTACGACACCTACTAGGAGGTACAAGTTAGCTTAAGTGGAAGACTAAAAAAGGGCAAAAGGTAGGCCCAAAAGCACGTGGTTGGAACTAGTGAGAAAAGATATGGGGACTTATGACCTCACTGAGGGTATGGCGAATGGCGGATCAGGATTCGAGTAGCTGATTGAAATTAATTGGAAAAAAGCTCCGACGACGATGATGATGATGATGCATAAAATATATAGAAAATGCCTGAATATGATTTATAAAGGAGAATTCCTAGACAACCCCCGCTCTTACTAAACCTGGGCCTTCCAAATCCCTAGGTGCCAGCATAGGCGCCAGGTGGCCTAGATCCCCCTGGCCACCTTGGCACTGCCCAAGGTTTCTCTTGACACTACTGAAAATATTTTTTATCCCTCCAATAAACTCTTAGTTGGGGTTGATTTGATTACACAAAATGATCATTTTTTTTGTTGCTTGTCTAATTTATCAAGTTATATGCAAGATTCAACATATAAAATACTTCATAAAAAACATGCTTCCCAATAGTTTCAATTTTGTAGGCAAAAGGTTTTTGTTTTGAAGGCAAAAGGTTGCTAACTCTGAAAGCACTTATGGCTTCTATCAAGGTGCTTAATGCTATGCTAGACATTGTAAAAGAATTAGGGCAAAAAGATAGCATACAAATTCTTCTTAAAATTGAAATAAAGAATGACTTGTAATAAGTAGATTAAAAACTCTGGTGTTTGATGAGAAAGAATTTTACATCGAACTAGTGAACTTTCCTATGATATAGAGTTCCACATCAAGCAATTTTAAGAAAATGAATTCTACATCAAAACTGTAGCATTTCGATAGCTAAAGCCATTCAAGTAAATGGATCACTATATCCTAGGCAGGACTGCTATATATGCCTAAGTCCAAGCCTTTTTTAGGAAACAATAAGAAATGGCTTGACAGCCACTATGTAATTACCACTATCACAGATGTAGAAACACTATCATGAGGGGCAAATGTAACAAGTAAAATATATTCAAAGGAGCCTTGTAAAGAACACGGAATCACTATTGCAGAATGGCATTTGCCTTTTCATATACTCAAGAACACAATATCACAATTGCATCATTTCTAAACATCACTTCTCAGAAAAAATGAAAAAGAAAAAAAAGAGAAAATGGTAGAATTCCAGTAAATGTGGAAACCAGTTTCAATAAGTATATCATCAAGATTCACTAATTGCAGAATCGAGAATCACTAAATATTGGAAACAAGATTCCATAAGTGTTGGAGTCGAGATTCCTAAAATAAGGTCGAGATTCTAGACTTCACAAAAACAGATTCGGGCAACTATGGGTAATACATGATAATTATTTTTCTGATTGTTTGCTACTGCATTACATCTGTCCACATTGATATTCCTCTGAACCATCAAGTTTCCAGCATAAAATATGTAGATAAGGATGAATAAAAAAACGAGCAAATGTATAACAAAATACTTACGAGCAAATGTATAACAAAATACTTACGTTTGGCAGAAAATCAAGCATATATGGCTTTCCACACTTTGAAATTTGCATTTCTTGCATATTACGAATTGGAGCCTGAAGCACAAAGAACATGCTTAAGAAAATGACACCATATCAACATGCACGTACGAACATACAAATATATATGTAAACGCGGAAATATGTAGACACACGTATTAACATATGTATGTTAGGTGTGTATATTTCATGGAATATGGTAGAAGTTGACAGAAAGTGAGACCAATGAGAATGTCAAGATGACATCTCAGGGACTTAAGCTCCCATTAACTAGTAGTATTACATTCTAATGTCTCCACCTTTAGTGAGTTCATCACCTAATTCATTTCCACTTCTAGAAACATGATGGAAATATGTACATCTTGAAATATGCATAGATCTAAAGATGGTTGGAGATTATGACGCTTACAATAAAATTAGTTAGCTTGATACCTATTTTCCTTTCATTCTCTTTCATTACCACTCCTACCAATCTGAAAATTCAAAGAACCAGGAGCATAATCATTTTCTTGACTTTTAAAAAAATTCATGTGTATCACTAAATCATTTCATGTAGTCAGTCAGGTTGGTCTGTCCAATATTTTTAGAGACCTTTTGTAAGGCATTAGGCAGAAAGGAAAGAACCATGTATGAGAAACTTACAGTCATTACGACTGCATCAAAAGATTGCTTCAGCAACAACTTCCTCTGGTCGGACTGATTTTTGATGTAAGAAACTGACCAATTGCTAAAGGAATCACCATTACCATCGCCGTAGGATAATGATAATACTTTGGAATGCAGTTTCACGTTCTCATTGCCAAGTTCTTCAGCAAGTTTGTCTGTCAGTGTCTAGAGAGAAAAGGTCCAGTCATTGAATACTAACAGTTCACTGGAATATAGATGTACAGAAAAAGATACACATATGAATCTGTATGACAAAGAATGGATAGAACCCTTAAAATATCTTTTGCAGGCAGCATAAATGAAAATCCTCTGGTACTCAACGCATATATCAACACAAGTACAAGACAATTGAGCATAAGACATAAAGATGCCGTACACATTTTTCGACATAGGCATATTAGTCAAATAAATAAAATAAAGCATGAAGTCAAGCATCCAATGTGGGAAAAAAATGCCTCTTGAAGCCATCATCCTAAGGCATTATGGATATTTTCACAATTCATGCATTGCGTTATCTTTTTATTTACTTTTCATCCCCTTATAATCATTCGAGGACCTTTTAACCAATTGCAAATAAGCCCAAGAATTGCTGGGTTTTGTGGCCTTTAAAGACCGTGAGAGAATGTAAAAATCATTTTTATGGATTACACACTTTAGTAGGAGTTTGTGTTGATTGACTAAGGATTAAGAAATCTATGGCCCTGTTCATGTCTACAACCCTTAACCCTAGGCATGTGACACTACCGAAAAGGGTTTATAGTGGGTCATCCCTCATTAAGGTCAGACAGATGCTCAGGGATGGTTTGTGAGCCAGAAGAACTGTGTCTCCTGTGTGTGGATGTAGGTCGTAAGAGGGAGGGCTAAATCCTCAACAAACTTATGCAAGACCACATGACAACCGCATTATAAAAAAGCAGACTTGAAAAGGGATACATGTACATTTGCATAGAGAGAGTCCCCTTGTAATGTAGTGTGCTTAACTTGCTCTTAACTGAGGGGGGGAGAGGGGGAGGAGGCTATAATCCACAATCTGAGACTATGGTTCCATTGTTTATTGGCTAGCTTGGACGAGCCAATCATGAGCTCTGCATGAGACTGTGGGACATGAGTCTCATTGGGTTGCTTTGAGAAGACAATTGCAGATCATGGTTAGTTACCGAGGTCTCCTCCCTTGCTTGGCGATTCCTTGCAGAACCTCGATTCTCTTGATCCTGGAGCGGATCTCGTCTGAAACTCAATTTACTGTTTTCGAGATCTCAATCCATCTTATAAGGGAACGAGTTCCTTACAATTTAATTTCGCAATCCTGAACATTACAGGATCTAGTTCTTTGGTCTTATGGTTCGTGCTCTAGAGTGCTTTGGGATCTGGATTCCAAAATAACGGAACACAAGCATCGCCATATATGGCATCCAGATCCCACCAATATGGGATCGCTTTAAAGTTCCTTATTTATTTCATTGAAGGACTAAGCCTACATGTTATTGGTTAACAACACCGAGAGCTACATTTTAAAGCCACGGATCCTTATTACCTACACGAAGAACTTGTGTTCTAAGAAAATGGAGCTCGCTCCTATAAAAGTTATTCCTCGCTCCATAATATTTTGGATCATTTTTTCTCGATCTTATGTAATAAAGGAGCTCGATCCCCAACACACATGGACCTCAATCCCGACCTTTAAGGTTGTACGAGCATCGATCCCTAACACAAGGATCATCAGTATAGCTTCGATCCACCGATCCTGCCCCCAATCCCGAAACCATTCCCGTTCCCATACCCAACAACTATGATTTTGACCCATTGCTACCAATCCACTTCTAAATAATTTACTTTTGATATTAGAAATGTTTATGCAATTTTTAGAAAATTTTCAGAATTTGTAAAATTTATTACTGCTATAAAATTCCTCAAAAGGGTATTTTTTAATTTTTGAAAAACTGGAAGGGCACATGTGGGGACTCTTGGATCCAGCTCCACGTGCGCCATCTAGCATTTGGGGGGGGGGAATAGCTGACATGTCACCCATAGGGGTTAGCACGCCCACTCCTTGATTTAAAAAATGTTTGTTTTGAATACATAATTTTTTTTAAAGAATACATTTTAAAAGAAAAGATTGTATCCTTATTTTGTGGGAATTAGTTTCGACCAAATAATATTATCTTTGACGTTCTACAATTTTGAAAAAGAGGTCTAGAAGGTTTTTAAATTGGTCTAATCCTATTTGAACTAGAAGTGGACATGGGTCAAATCTTGAGGGAATAATGTTCCTAATATTCTTCTTTAAATCATGATGGCTGATTTGTGGGATATATGACTCATATTTGTTTCTCTCTCACCTCACAGATTTTCTTAATTCCTATTGGTCAAAGTGAATAATTGGATAGGCATACCTGGGGTGTCTTGGGGCCTCGATAAGGAGGTGAACCCCCTTTCATTCTTTGCACCTTTTTGGAGCCTCTCCTTCACGCCCCAAAATTCTCTCTTATTTCTATTAAGTTCTTGTCTCTCTCCTCCCTCTCTCTCTCGATCGATAAAAGTGGCATGTGAAAGAATAGCATGCCAAAGAAACCTTAATTAGGGTTCGGAGAGTGAGAAGGGTACGTCTAACCCCAAAAGGGAGGTGCCTTCTTAAGGCGTGCCCAAGATGTTCAAAAAGGGGTGTTCTACCAAACTCTAATTGTTTATTATGCTCTGCAAACATAGTTGTTGGAAATGCCTGGGAACCCGAATCGTTTCAAGAGCCAGAATCTCGCCTGGCCAGAAGTTTCCCGTTGTAGGAATCGTTGTCCGTACAATAGAAATCGCTAGGAATGAGATTCCTAATTTTTAGGAATCGAGTATCGATCGGAATAGGTCCAAGTTTCATCCACATATGGAATCGAGATTCCCATCCCCCCGAGTTTGACACTCCAAGTGTTAAGTTTCTCTAATACATGGAATCGAGTTTCCGACATATGCGGAATAAAGTTTCCGATACACATGGAATCGAGTTTTTGATATACGTGGTATTGAGTTTTCGATATACGCAGAATCGAGTTTCCATCATTTATGGAATCGTGCTTCTAACATATTAGGAATCGAGTGTCAATCATCTATGGAATCGTGTCTCTAACATATTTGGAATCAAATTTTTGAACTATGTGGATAAGAGATCCATGTTGGTTTGAGATCGAGAATTAGAATAGCGGAATAGAGTTTCCGACATCACTTGATTCGAGTTTCTGACATATGTGGTACATAGATATGTTGCTGTGTAGAGTCGTGATTCCTACATATTTGGAATCAAGTTTCTGAAGTATTGAAGGGGCAAGTTGGTCAGGAGTCACTGGGTAGAATTTTTAGACATTAGGAGTACTGCAATACCATTTAGGAAGTGTCGGGTGTCACTAGATTGTTTAGACTTTAGAGTTTAGAGTTTAGACATTAGAGGAGTTTGGGTTTTCTCAAGCTCAAGCCATGACAGTGTGTGGTATAGGGGCCCATAGGCATTGTCGCAGCTGCAAGGCTGCATGTTGTGCATGAAGGAAAGATGGTGGCATCGACATGTGTTAGTGTATCATCTGAGAGAGAATGTGGTTGGCAAAGTTAGCACTGAAACACTAACTTACCCCTTGAAGAGAATAAACTATCAAATTTAAATATTTAGACTTTTTAAAGTACTAAGTTACTAACTACTAAACATGATGGTGATGTCTTTTTCAGGTAACAAAGGCGGCTATAATTTAATACTATCAGACCATTTGAAGTTTAGATTTTTTTGGAATAGATTTTTTGGAATTAAGAGGACATGGCCACGTGATCATTAAGAGTTATTTAGAGTTAAGAGTTAAGATTAAGTAATCCACATCTTTACCCTCATTAAAAAGCACATAGCTCGGTTTGTTACTTTTGCACTAAGTTTTTTTATTAATATTTTTTGTTTAGGAGAACATGTGTTTTATGTGAATTCCTTTTTATTTATTTGTTTAAGAGAAGTAGTCCCTAGTCGCTGCTAGACCAAATCATGAAATTATCTCGAGATGGACACCTAATTGCAAGTTACAAGCAATGATCTTATACATGTTCTTTTTCACTTAATCACATGATACAAGATGCAAGTATTTTCTACTCATCTTTTTCATAACTATTGAACACTCCGTAATTGTGAAATGCATTCCACAAAGAGATTGTAAGAATTTTATAGTAATTCATACTTAAATATTCCACATCTTCTCGCTCATTATGACAGGGCACATAACACCGTATCTTTGTTTTGCACTATGATTTTTAATAATAAATTTTATTTTTGAGAACATCATTTATCTTTGAAACCATTTTTTTTGTTTAGGAGAAGCAATCCCGAGTCCGCACGACACCAGAGCATCAAATTTTTGGAGTTGGAGTTGAACTATATACAAGTTACAAGATGCAATTTTCTTTTACCATTTAATTCAAGTATTGACCAATAAAAAATGAAGTGTACTATGTTTGATTAAGTTTGGGACATAATCCACTGAGAGATTGCATATAAATGCATCCTTAGCTTATTTCACCAACATGTGGACTGCGCACTAAGTCAAGAGAGCACTATGGCTTACAGATGGTCCTCCCTTCACCCAAGATAGTGTGATCTATAGCTTGCCGCTGGCGTTTCCTTCACCCAAGATAGTGTGATTGTCAATGTGATATTGGGTTCCCCCATACTGATTGGTGGTCTTGCTGAAATGTTGGGAGTTGGGACCAGTATATGTGGTTCTTGTGACTTTATTTATTAGAGGTTTTGTCCGAGACAATAGGAGATTGAGAGTGAAACCTATTATTGTTATTTTCTATTTTTCTTTGCTTTTTATATGCTTTTAGTTTCTCCCTTCATGAAAGCAAGCTAGTAAAAGAGAGAGAAAGTCCATTGAGAGAGATAGGATATATAAAAAAAATGGAAGAAGCAAGAGAAAGTCCATTGAGAGAGGATATATAAAAAAAATGAAAGAAGCATAACAGGGGAGTGGGAGAAAAAGGGGAGTGAGAGAAAAAGACTGACAACGGGTAGAGAGAGAGTAGAGAGAGATTAGCATGGGGACGAGGGAAAGAGAGAGTAGAGAGACGGTTGCTAAGAATTAGCATAAGAAAGAAATTTCAAGAATGTCATGAGCAAATACATGGTAGATGACCCATGAAAAATTAAG